TGTAGAATCTGAGGAAAAAGAGGGGAAACAAAAGTAAGAAAAATAAAGATGCAAATAGTACTATACTTAAAAAAAAAAACAATACAGATGCTATAAAATTACCAAATGGGAACATAAGTTTAAGCACAGTGTGTAAAATTTTGGAGCTATATTATTTGTTAGTATCATATTTAATATATATTTTATTTCAAAAATAAAAAAACAAGTAAATCACGTACCAATACTATTGTTTTATAGAGACAAATGGTCAGACAATGGTGAAGTTAAAATCCTAAGATCACATAAAGATTTTTATCATTATATTTTACAAAGTTGTATTTCTATTTTTCAAACAACAATGTCATTAAGTATTCCAGAGTTTGAAAAACATAAAAAACAAAATATAAAAATCTATCACGAAATTGGAAAGTAAGAATATTATTCGCTATATGTAATATATACTTTCGATTTTTTTGTTTGACATTAAATATGCTAATTACAAAATGATTTTCTTATAGATTACTCTATAAAAATGTAATTCTAGAATTTAGAGATTCATTTAATTATGATCAACAAGGAGCATTGTCTGCTTTGGAGTGTTTTAAAGAGTATTGTTTTCTAATATGCTCAAAGTTTTCTTCTCAATTGCCAACATTTCTGGATAGTATGCGTATGTATTTTTCTACCACTGAAAAAGTGCAAACAAAATATCTTCTTACTTATTTCACACATTTATTTTTATATCTCCTTAATATCTTTTTTTTTATTAGGTAATCAAGAATCAACGGATAGTTTTAACGAACAATTACAAACTTTTATTTTGTCTTTCAAAGCTCCATTAAAAATGTCCTTCAATCAAGATTCTGATGACGAAGAAATATATAAACAAATATCATTAATATTATTAGAAATTATACAACAATTTGTGCATCAATTAAACTTTCAGGATAATAATGTGGATAAAGTTTGTATTAACATATTTCTATTGAAATTATCTTATATGTGAGATTTTATTATAGACATTATATTAACTATACTTAATTAATTATAGATTTTTGAATGGATAAAAAAATGTTCACAAACAGAAGGCATTAGTGCTTCTGCAGCTATTTTAATACTTCAAATCCTTTTATGGATTGAAGACTGCGATAAAGACTATGGAATGATATTAAATGATATTTGTTTTGAAATATCAGAGAAATTAGGTATGATACATAAGGTTTGTAAATCTTATATATAACTAAGTATAATACTAAAGTATACTTTATATTATGTACTTTAAAAAATTAAAATACTAAACAAAAGTTATTATTTTTTCTTACATGTATCTTTCTTGTAGATCGAAACAACAACAAGTGAGAAATTTAAAATTATAAACGAAAGCACAGTTGTCCAAGCTTTTAACACTGTTAACCATCAAATAAAAAATAAATTAGATAATGTATCTTGGTTTTTAGAACGGTTGAAAGCTGAACTTACAGCAATGAATGTTGTTAATTTTAATAATGAACAAAGTACGTATCGATGTACATATATGATAAATATTAATGAATTTTGAATAATTAATATTTCTCTAATATTTTCGTAGATCCAGAAAACTTAGTAGAAAAAGAACGCAGTTTATGTAGACAGTTATCGTATATCATTCAAATACTTAATACATTGGCCAATATATCTATTGATCCAGGTCAATCTACTAATTTGATATTTAAGAATTTACAACAATTGTATAACATACTGAGTAAACTTACTAAATATTTTTATAATAAATCGAGCAGTGGAAATGCAGCATTTCATGCCGTTAGGTAAGTATTTAAAATTAGTGTAATTATATCTAAATATGTTAAAAGTTATAAATGTATCAATTTCTTTTTTCATTATTATCTTTTAGATTTATTCAAGTGATACAGTTAGCAGGAAAGCCACTAAAATATACTTTCTATGAATTAGTAACGCACATAGAGGTACGTGATGTTTAAAAATAATTAATATATACACCGTGAAGTACCTAACTTAATTACATCGAATAACTTATAAATTATGCATTAAACAAAAAATTATTTCTACAAAGATTACATGGTATCAAGAGAAGTATATTGTGGTGTACATGATTTTTATATAAATGGATACATTTAGGAGATTTAATTAAAAGTCAATTTGGTTTTTCTAAATGGAATGCTTAATTTTTTTACGTCAATTCGAATGAGCATTAATTTCCAAGTAAAAAAAATATTGACAATGTTTGTCTTAAAGTTAATTATTAATGAGATATTATCGAAAGTTTGATCAGCATAAAAGATCGCTTTGAAAGATTAATACTATCGAGTGACGACTATTTATGTCACAGTGTCTATCAAAGTTTCAGGTATTCTTATTTAAATGTTATCAACGTCAATGCTACTATGGTGATAGAGCATATCAACGAATAATAAAACATATACGCTTTTCAGCGATACGAAAACTTTGCATTGACACAAATGATAACAATTTTTACCATTTTTTGTAATGTACCATTTGACTTTGAATAACTTTTGCTAATAGCTTACTGGAACCGTTTTATTGTTAGTAGTAAAAAATAAGTCGTCCTATTTAAACAAAATAAAGATAATCTTGAAATCTCCATTAAGCCTCCGTCTACTAAAAAGAAATAGACACCACAATATGCCCTTTTTTATGCTATGCAATTTTTACACCAAACATTTTTTATATTATTACAAATAACAAAGATATTCAAGGTGGACAGAGTAATTATCTTTAGATATAAATATTTCGATAATAAATGATCAGAATATGATCATGTGTAGATTATTTTTATTTATTTTTGCATGCTCTACAAGAATATCGCAAAATAATATATATATATAATTTCATTTAAAAAAATATCAATAATCTCTTGAAATCTCGTAAAAAAATGACCTCGAGGAAAAATTTTGTTAATTATTACATTCCCCTCTGCAATAATGCAACTTTTCCCTTTGAAGTTGTTTAATGCGATTGTAAACAAAGGAGATATTAAAGGTAGACAGAGTTATTGTTCTACTCTATATATACGAAATTAAATATGTTGCATGTATTATTACAAATTTTGTTTATTGCTTTGATTAGGATAGTCAGAGTAAAGATAAGAAACGATTAAAGACAGATACAAATATACAAAAAAATTATATTTTAAGAGAAACCAAATTAATACCACGTGTTGTTTATGAGATTGAACAATTTAGTAAAGAAGTATTACTGCTTGGAAAAAAAACAGGGGTAAGATATACAGAGTTATGATTATAAAATTATTTAAACTGAATTATTTGTACTGATTTCTTTTTATTAGGTACCCTTAGAAAATTATATCAAACATAGCGTTACACGTGATTTCCGAATATTAGATTCACAATTAACAGAATCTCTGGAACAAATGGACGTCAGTATGGTAAGAAAAAATAATTATAATATATATTATATGTTGATTTATTAAATATTAACAATTATTATCTTTCCGATTTAATAGTTAAGCACGCAACGCAGTAATGTCACGAATAAAAATAACAGTCATATACAAGATCCTAATGATACTTCATCATCCATGACAGAACATTCCATGATTGAATCGTAAATAGTTTTTCCATAAATTTGATTAATATTTTTTTATATAACGAAATATAATAATTACATGAGATATTTTAATTTTATTTTTGTATATGTATGGTTTATTATAATGTAATTTTATATTTTTGTAATTGTGGTATGAAAATGTATATTACTTATTTTTTCATTGATATTAAATATGATTAAAAGTAAGAATGTACTAATATAATCTATACAAACTAAACTTAATATTAATTGATGTATTATATGTGGATCTTAACGAAGAATACTAATTATGCTATGAAATACACATTATATAATTATAAGTGAAAAATATATACGAGGATTATATGCTTCTAATTAAAAAACAACTGATTTAAACAAATTTCAGTAATCGATGTTTTCAGATGTCGAGATATTCATGCTACGAAATCGAGTGGTCTATTGAAACCTCCTTTTCTATTCATATACTGTCTATACTTTCTTTTTAGAATAACATGTACTGCACCTACATCATTTCCTTCAACCTTTTTACCTTTGGTAGTATCGAAGCCACAAAAACCCATCATTCTCATCATCTCTTGTTCTTCTGGTGTTTTTCCTTGAAGATCGGCCTCTATATAAGAAAAATCATGTTTATTATAATTATCAATATTTACATAAAGAATAAACAATACATTTTTATTATATTAAAATTATTTTATTTAATTATGCAGAATAGAATGCGTCTTACTAATTTTGATGATTTTCAAATGCTTTATTAAAGTCAACATTCTGAGTATTTCTTTTCTCTATTCTTTCATTGCAGTAAACACATATATGTGTGTTTAGCGAAGACTATTGGTGTGAACAATGGATGTACATATATATCAAGCAACTTTTTTTTACTTATACACACTCACACAAGTCATAGCGTTTTAAAATGTTAATATTTATACAAAAAATTAATACATATTGGAAATGAAAATGTTTTGTTTCGATTTAGACAAAGTAGGTAGACAAAGTAATTGATTGTACGCTATATATGTTATCAGCATACTAATAAAATATACACTATATGAAAAAGTGTTCCATCTTCAGCTATCGTACTTAAAATACTTCTTACCGAATACACACTAGATATAATAAAAATACAATTATTATTTTTGGAAGTAGTACTTGACTGGTCCTTCTTTGCATTTTCTAATAATTTTGAAACAATTGAGCATATCAGTTATATCAAATTTTACTTCTCTTATAATAAAATGCTTTTGTGCAATACAATTTAAAAGTTTAATATTCTAAAACTATATTTTTGTGTTAAAAGAATCTTGAGATATTATATTACTAGAAAATATTATTTTTAAATTGATAAATGGGGGGGTATGAATATTCCTGGGATTCGCAATATATGTATTGGAAAAAATACTCAGAATGTTAACCTTGACAACATATGTTAAACTCGATAAATTATATTGATTTATGAGTTTACTTCACATAGATACTAATCATTTTGATTCTCACTGTACCTGTTATAACAGGACGTTCTGCTGTAGATAATTTAGCTCTGGGTTTAGGTCTGTCTCGTTCTCTAGATCTAGATCTACTGTATGATCGTTTATGTCTTTCCCTATCACGATCTCGTTCTCTTTCTCTATCTCTTGATTTTACTCTGTCACGTTCTGCAGATCTACAATCAAATTTTGATTATATTAACTTTTATCAAGTACAATAGGTATATACTGAATCAATCATTATTCTTACCATTTTTGTACATACCTCCGACGTCTTTCACGGGATCGTCGTCTTCGACGATCTCTTTCACGATCACGTTCTCTGGAACGATCACGTCGTCTTCCTGGTGATGGTGTATGACTTCGACCCATTTAGGTTAGAATTTTAAACACAGAATTATTAAAACTGCTTGCACACCATTATACAACCTTTAATGAGAAATATATAATAATTAATATTATAATATATTATTGTACATTATATATAATATTTATTATTATCATTATTATTATATATATATATTTATATTTTATTTTTTATTTCTTAAGTATTTTGATAGTATGCTTCAAAGTTATGCATATAAATACTATTTGATACTTATAAAATATTATAATATTGTATCATATACATAAAACAACATATACTTACATGATTGCATAGTTGCAAATATTGAGTAATCCTATTTCATTCAGTCAATAAATAATCGAGTATCTTAAACGTCTGAATACGTCTTTTTATTGACTACTGCTAACCTTTATTTATGTTTTTGATTCACGTAGTAATCTACCTGTTAGCGTCACATGAACACAGCAGTTAATATAATGGCGGTAAAATTTTCTATTTAAATGTTATAATAATTATTGGCATTAATTTCATAATTTATAATAATCTCGTAATTCAAATCTCGTTAAAAAGTAAAAAAAGAGAATATGTTGTGCAAAAGTGATAACGAAAATATTACAATAGATATGATTTTGAAATACTTTCGTAAAAATATCTAACTATGTAATTTCTATTTTAACACAGCATATCAACGATATTATTCTATCGTTCAAAACAACGATGTTTTTTAATGATATCGATTTGCATATTTCATAAGTAATATTGTTTTATATGTTAATGATAAGAACTCATCAACATTTCAATTTCATGTTAAACTGACATGTTTATATATACCGTCTTATATTGATATTGCTTACGAAATCCAAACTGACGTAGACAGTAATAATGATGCAAATGCTTTTATTATTAAGCTAAGATTTTAACAACAATAATTATAATTGACGAGTATATTCGTCATGGAGAAATTGCAATAGTTTGTGTTAAAAAATAATTATCATTCGTTATTTATATATATATATATATGTATATAAATTGCAATTTTAATTGAAACTAAAATATATTCGTAAGATTCAAGATTTAAAAAATATTTCAAGATCAGGATAAAATAAAACGAAAAAATATATAAATAATTATTATGAAAATATTATTAATAGAGTTTAAATTATGTAGAACAAACTCGATAAACTTAAAACGCTACACATTTTTCAGATAATATAATAAGTATATCTTGAAAAAAATAATCCTACGAAAATAATATTCGGAAGCAATGAAGATATTGGTGTTTGACTTGTGAAGTGTATTTTGTAAAGTATAATTGTACTTTATTTTATTCACAATTTGATTCAACAACAGCAGATTCAATTTTTAACTAATCATTTTTCTAAGTAATTGATTTTCTCGTATTTTCTTCTTTCGTGTATCAACTACATGTTTACATTAAGTAAATAAATAAATATTAATAATAAAATTATTAATTTTATAAAAAAATAAAATAGTCATTCGATTACAACTTAATTGAATATTATAACAGTTGCATATATTATGTGTTTGATGAGTATACTTATTATCATTTCATTTTTTCTAGACAACGTGAATACACATTTTTCAAAAAAGTCGTCACAGCTAGTTGTCACAATAGTTAATAATTATAATTTAATATATTAAATATCATATATTTATTATTTAATATTTAACACTAAACTTACCGAAACTTCATTTATACTAATTCTTACTGTGTGACCGGTCCGTAAAAAGAAAATTATATTGTTTACAACTGAACGCGTAAATTATAGTTTAAATTGATTAATATATGACTATATAATTATAATATAATAATAAATGAAATAATATCTTTAAAAAAATAATAATTTTTGATAAATGATTTAATAATGATAAAAATGATTTTTTTCATTCAAATTAAAAAATATTCTTTTTATTATCTCTATATAAAATTTTTTTTTCCGCGATGTCTTTATTTTCAAAAAGTATTTGTTTATCGAAATTCGAATATTTTTCTAGTCTGTCATTCATTTTTTCTACTATTGACATAGTTTTTCAGTGCCTTGAAATTTTTAACATGATTAATCATTTCTTAAATTACAGTACACACAAAATTAATGATAACATGCACGCTATTTTTGGTTGTACAATTTTTCCACATAATATTTAAATAAATGTTCAAAAAAATGTATTTTAATATCGTAACAAGTTTCATTTACGAATATGATTAAATAATATAAATTTAAAACATTTTATTATTGATTATAAACACTCCATTTCGTATTGATTTATAATCAGGAAATGTTTTTGTGGTGATACATATATTTTTTCATTCTCATTTATATACAATAGTTCAAAAATTATTAATTTTGAGATACCATGAGATAATATACGAGATATATATTTTTACATTTTTGCATAAAATTTCTTGCATACGTTACCAAATTGCTGATTATTTTGACGAGTTTTATAAAATTATGCAGAATAATTATTAAATGTAGAAGTTAATTCGGTGCGTTTCGTTTTAAAATTTGAATTTCTTACTACCCGTGATGTGCCATTCCGTGATAAATCACTTGCGTCACTGAATGAATGCTTTACGTATTTCAAATGAAAAATCGGTTGTTGAAATTATTCACATGGTTTGTGCGAAATTGTAATAAGAAACTCTCTAATTTATAGATTGTGCAAAAAGTGTGATAACAATTTAAAAGTAGAAAAAAGATTTGCTTTCTGTACGGTGTGGGATTTTCGAGGTATCATTTAATAACGAGTTGCTTCTACTTGGTCAAACGATAACTGTAGATTATTACCAACAACTTGATTTCCAACTGAATTGGAAGGAAATCAATCGGTCGTTTATCGACCACGGAACAAGAGGAGTTTACTTTGCAATATGACAACGCTCCGTTACACGTTGCTTTAGGCACGCGGAACACCATTTATACCTTGTGATGGGAATTTCTCCCATATGCAGTTTACTCTCTGGACCTGGTCCCATCGGACTACTATCTTTTTAGAGCCTTACAATACTATTTATCTGGGGAATGCTTCAAGTCGGTTAAAAAGGTCCGAGTAATGACTAGAAGATTTCACGGCCAGCAAATTACCGTCATTTTACAGGGATGAAGTTTATAAGTTACTCAATATGTAGTAAAAGATCATAGAAAGGTAAATATTTCAAAACTTAATTCCCTACCTGGTATTTGTAATTAAATCTTAATCTAAAGTTAAGAAAAATGATACCGAATTCATTTCTACGCCTAATTATTATGTATAATTATATCTTTTTTCTTTTCTGAGAAATATATATATAATATTTCCTTCCTATACCCGAATTTGATTAATTAACAAATTTATAATATCTATACTCTTCTAAACTTATTTAATGAATATAAAAGAAAAATTAACTGAATGTGATATAACCAATTGAAAGAGGAATGAACATTTTTATTACATTGTCTCTAAAGGATGCTTTTTTTTTCATTGCAAAAGTATAAACAGACAAAAATAAAAATGACGTAAAATTTGGCGTAATAATATAATTTTATAATTATAGGTGAAAGGATCACAGTATAAAACTTGTGAAATATTTTTCTAGTATTATAAATGACAAATGTTTATTTGAAGAAAAAATAATAACACCAATAATAGCGTATTATTTATTAGCGTATTAATTAGCGTATTATTTTTTTCAACAAATATCCATTCTACAAATGTCGAAGCATTGAAAACATATGATGTTAGTAGAAAAAATAAGTAACACACACAAAAGGAACGTTCGGATTTCGACGAATAAAGAATTTTGTTAAATGACGATAACGTGGATAAAAGTGATAACCTAATCACAGAATATTTTGTAACGTTAAGGAAATATTAACAAAAAAAAAGTGCAATTTGTAAAAGTTATTTCATTTATCATTTAACCTAGGAGTATTCTTAATGTTGATAATGTCTACATTGGAGATATAAGATTAGAAGCCATTAATAATACAGAATACATAAGCTTTGATAATAAGTATCAAAATATACTAATTTAAAAAACCATTGATCATGCATAAATATCTGTGTTATCGGTGATAAGAAAATTAAACAAATTGATTTTGGTGTATTTGTATTATATATATAAATATATTATTAATAAATAAATTAATTTATATATAAACATCTATACGATTTTTATCTTAAATTGAAAACAAAAAGTTATGGGACGGATAAATAAATAGGGCTGCATACGTATTTCTATAGTTTTTATTTTCTTATTATATAAGAACCTGTTTCACTGTCATGAATCTTAATCATCTTGTTTCCGAGAGGGGATACGCTATGTTCGACTATTAGGTTCAGTATTAACGTAGCTTTCAAAGCATCGACAATCAACAGAGGAAACCTAAAAGAGAATTAATAATCTAACAAGTTGACATTGGTGTATTTGAATAACCGCGTTTAATAAACATGAACTTTGGATCAATTCTCTGTCAAGTACGTGAATACAAATATTTTTATCGCCAATCTCTATTTGTAGATTAATTTTTATTTTATTCTACATAATTTGATATAGTTTTAACACAATTTATTCCATCTGTTATGTTTCTGGTAACGTGTACGTAGTTCTTTAATTATATACAGTCTTTTAACAATGCATTTAATTTTATACACAAATTTTGAACATGGAATAGAGGAATCTATAAAAAAAAAAGAACAATAATAATAATAAAAAAAAAAAAAAAAAGGAAATTATTTCCCAACAAATGGCAAGGTTCTTTTTTTTTAAATCGCTAGAAAATTAATGTTAAATACGAATGAAAATATAAATGATAAATAAATACTTGTCATGTTTTATTAAGTTTTATTTGAATTATTGGACATTGTTTTCTCGATGGAATTTCGTTATCAGTATTCATATTAGATAATAATGTATAACACAATAAAAAACAAGAAATAGAGAATCTAACAAAAAGAAAAGAAAATGATCTCCTAACGGGTAATAATTGTTTCTAATTTAAATTGATAGAATAGTAATCTTAAATATGAAAAATAAATGGCAATAAGCCAAACAAATCAATATTCTGAATATATTTATTCAGATTTTTACGTTAAATATTGAAAATATTTCATTATCAGTATTTGAATAAAATTATTATTAATTGAAAAAACAATCGGAGATAAACGTTTGACGCTTATTCTCATACTTTATATATTTATTATATCTTTATTTTTCCTCGGTAAAGCAACTTTCGGGAAATCCTGTATATACGTTGAATTATGTTTTGTTTACTTTTTTTTTTTTTTCTTTTAATATAACATTTCAAATTATTCAATCTTATTTATAATCTGCGATTAAGAATAAACGTTATCGAGTATCTTTCATTATACATTATATTATATTTCAATATCGAGATTGAATATGTTTTTACA